CTTCTCCCTACTATTCAGGCAAAAGCACCATCCTACATGATTGCTACATGTTGTGGATTCATACAAGGTGTGTGCTGACTGGATGACACTCAGTGGCACGAGAGTGGTCATTAGAAGGAAGGGCTTGATAGGATGAGGCAAATTCTTTTTTTTTTTTACATTATTTGTTTCTTTTTTTTAATTTTTTAAATTTATTTATGATAGTCACAGAGAGAGAGAGAGAGAGAGAGAGAGGCAGAGACACAGGCAGAGGGAGAAGCAGGCTCCATGCACCGGAAGCCCGATGTGGGGCTCGATCCCTGGTCTCCAGGATCGCACCCTGGGCCAAAGGCAGGCGCCAAACCGCTGCGCCACCCAGGGATCCCCGGATGAGGCAAATTCTTGAGTGGAGTCCATTTCTTAGTGCTCCTGGCCTGCTGTGCTCCTCAGTACAGACTGGAAGGATGAGACCCAACACTCTGAATGCTTCTCTTACCTCCCGACCTGTGCCACTGATGAGCTCCCACATGGAAGCCAACTTCTGCTTGAGAGACATATGGCTGGCTCTTGTCCTAACAGTCTGTGGTCCATGACTGGCCTGGGAGTTTAGGGAAATAAAAAGAAATTAGGATATGTGCTGAATTTATAGAGAAGAAAAGCATTACAGTAAGAAGAAAGCAACGTGGGACAAATACTAAGAAAGTTTGGAAAGTCTTCCTTCAGGAAGAGATTTCTGTATTTCAATCCATATATTCAACTTGGGCCCACTGTATATAAGGGCGTCTGGGCTTGTGGGTAAAAGAGAAGGTTTGTTTTCTTTCTTTCTTTCTTTCTTTCTTTCTTTCTTTCTTTCTTTCTTTCTTTCTTTCTTTCTTCTTCCTTCCTTCCTTCCTTCCTTCCATCCATCTATTTTTACAAAACGATTCAGCCATTCTGTACATTACCAAGTGCTCACCATGATAAGTGTGGTCACTGTCACTCTATAACATTATTGCAGTATGGAATATCATTGTCTATATTCTCTATGCCACCTCTGTGACTTATTTATTTTATAACTGGAAGTTTGACCTCCTACTCCCCTTCACCTATTTTGCCCGAGAAGGCTATCTTTCAGGTTTAAAAAAAAAGGGGCATAATACAAAGGAAAATGACTGGTTCCAGTTACAGTTTGAAGACTGAAACATAAAATTAGAAATGTGGTCTTTTTATAGGCTTTACAATTGTGTATTCAAGCTTGAGGTTTGAAAAGTGAGGGTTAGATTTGACTCTCAGAATACTTGGGACCAGTGAGATAAGGCCTGTTTCTGCATGTGTAAGCAGGGGTCTGAGGCCTGTCTCAGTTACACTGCTTTAAAACAGAAATGCGAGACACATTGGTCAGACCATTTAAGAAAAATGAGAGAGTAAATCTTAAATTTGAAACAGAAGGGAGTTAATCACAATGAGTTTCACCTCCTTGACTGTTTACAAACCTTCTAGACCATCAAGCATTTAAAGCAGTTGAGTTGATCTGTGTATCACTTCAGGGTCCCTGCTTTAAGGGTAGAGGCAGGACCAAAGGGAAATCTGCATTTTTAGTTTATCTTGTGGTGATAGATTTTTAACTACTTAGAATTATAGTAAATAAAGAGTAACGCCAAGTTATTTTTCTCTGTATGACTTGGAAGATATGCTCAAATTTAATACAAAATGATGACTTTTTAAAATTAAATGAGCTGGGGTGCCCAGGTGGCTCAGTGTTTGAGCATCTGCCTTTGGCTGAGGTCATCGTTCTGGGGTCCCGGGATCAAGTCCCATATTGAGTTCTTCATAGGGAGCCTGCTTCTCCCTCTGCCTATGTCTCTGCATCTCTCATGAATAAATAAAATCTTAAAAATAAAAAATGAAAAAATAAATTTTCATTGTGAGAAAACAATAGTGGTTTCGACTCAAACAACGGATTGTTGATGCTGACCGGCACCCCCGGAAGGGGGGCAATCTCCCACAGGCTGCAGTTTAATAGGCATCAATCAGGGCCCCCACCTCTACTTTCTACTTGGCTTACGCTGTCCTTCAGGTTCTTCTTTTGCCCTACAAATATACTTACTTTAAACATTTAAGTGCATCTTATTTTTTATTTATTTATTTATTTATTTACGATAGTCATACAGAGAGAGCGAGAGAGGCAGAGACACAGGCAGAGGGAGAAGCAGGCTCCATACACTGGGAGCCTGACGTGGGATTCGATCCCGGGTCTCCAGGATCGCGCCCTGGGCCAAAGGCAGGCGCCAAACCACTGCGCCACCCAGGGATCCCTTAAGTGCATCTTAAAAGAGAAACATTTACCATCATCTTTCACAGGAAAGAGGGCAAATGCATGATTTGCATGCTTTCCCTTCTTGGAGCCACCGGCCATCAATCTTAGCTTTCCTCCCCAATGTGTCTAGTTCCTAGGAGCCTCTTTTTGGCGTAGCTGTCCAGGAAACTACTCCAAACTGATTAGACTTGAAACCTACTTGGCACTGCTCATTTATATCTTATGTAAATGAGTTTATTCAATACCCTAATCAGGGCAAATTTTGAGAGTGAGAAAGGAATGAAAAATATAAGGTTTTTGGATTTGCAGGGAAGACTGAGAAGTGACCACCAAAGGTGGTATAAAACTTCACCTCTAAGTTCTTAGAGGTAGAAATCCAACACATCAAATATCTCCTCTGCTCCACGTGCCATTGCCAAGTGTTTATTATGCAATTTATTTCTTCACCCAGAGACTGTGGGGCATGTGTGCACTTGCACATGGGTGTGTGTGTGTGTGTGTGTGTGTGTGTGTGTGTGTGTGTATGGGGGGGGGCGGAGATCGAGAGAGAGAGAGAGAGAGAGAGAGATCTTAGTTGTACAGTGGAGGAAACCAAGCTTCCTGATATTAAAATGGCTTGTTGAAGGTGAAAGAGCTGGTAAGGGCAGAGCTGTAGCACAGATCCCCAGAGTTTCTATCTGTCCAACTTACTCTGCAATTGTATATATTGTTCCCAGAGTTGTGTAGAATCGGATCAGTATGTGTAGTGGAGAACCTTCTCAAGGTCACCTCCATTTTCAGGGCTGTGCCCCTCAGCAACAAAATTTAACATAAATCTGAGTGGACTAGCAACTGGAAAACTTCTATTTCTTCAAAACATTGTCATTTCTACCGATGGACAATAATCCGGTTCCCTAGAGATGAGGTGAAATCAAGATATATTTCCCAGTGCAGATCATACTTATTTAAATTTTCCTTATGAGTTTTCTTTGGAGGTAGTTTACTATCGCCGCTCACAATTAAATGTTCCAGTGGCACATAGTCATCTGATGCAATTAAGTACGTCTTTTGAGGGAAGCTATTTTGTAATAAATGCCTCATAGTAAAGAATAATATTTTGAGGATAGAATCAATGATGTTAGTAAGGACTAGGTCTGAATTTCACTAGTGTTATAGTTGCAGCTTTTAAAGTTATTCAATAGATCAAGAATTTTACAAGATCTTTTATATATAGCAGACATAAAACCAATTACACCCTGGATCACTTTCTGTATCCCTAATAATGTGGAGCCAGTCTTTTGTTTTCAATTTCAGTTGGCCTCATGAGACACAGTTTCAATATTCATTTCAAACCAGGAATAGCAAATCTATCTCCATTGTGATTCTTCTGCAATGTCATGCTATTGCTTTAGGAAAACCAATTAATAAGTATTTATTGAGCACCTACTGTATGCCCGACTTTGCACAGCAGTCATAGTTACAATACAAGAAAAAGTGAAACAGCGGTCCTTAGTTATAAAGGCTTGGGTGTCTTCTAGTCCACCCTCCCACGTACAGCCAGCCTCTGTAGGTCTCTGACATGATCTGCCGAAGCTCAAGTGCATCCTCTAATGTTCTCATTAATAATGGCAGCACTGAGGCACCTGGGGGGCTCAGTGTTTGAACATCTGCCTTCAGCTCAGGTCATGATCCCGGGATCCTGGGATCGAGTCCCGCATCGGGCTCCCTGCATGGAGCCTGCTTCTCCCTCTGCATGTGTCTCTGCCTCTCTTGTGTCTCTCGTGAATAAACAAATAAAATCTTTTAAAAAAATGATGGCAAGCACTTATATACCACTTACTACATATACTTGGGTGTACTAGGTATACACTTACTCCTGCACACTTCACAGTAGTAATTCATTTAATCCTCTCCAGAACCCTAAAAAATAGATAATCTAATAGCACAGAAATCTGAGGCACCAGGAAGTTGAGAAACTTGACCCAGATCAAAGCTACTGAGTGCCGGAGCTAAGCTTTGACCTAGGCAGTCCCACTAGGTATCAATGTACTTAACATATACTCGGGTATCTGAGCTGGAAGCTTTAATGTAATCCAGGGGGTTAGCAGGTGAGTGTCTGAATAGGGGGAGGCAGTATGAATGAGAAAGACGAGCAATGAGGAAACACATCAAGAATCAGCTCATTAAAGACAAAGTCAGGATTATTTATCTAAATGAACCTATTTGTGTTTTAAAATGTATTAATCTGAACACTATCTATCTGGGGGGAAAGGAAACAGCGCATTATCAAGTTAGAGCTAGGGTGACCATATCTTATGGTTCAAAACAGGACATTTTGGAGAGTAAAAATGGTGCTATTAATAAACACACCAGAATAACATGCATTCCGATATAATTGTGGAACCATAATGGAAAAAGAACACCAATGGTCATTCCACTCCCTGCCACCAAAAGAGGTACTTTTGCCATACTCTTGGTAGACACTGCACATCCTGGTTTCCAGTTTTGAATGAAGACAATCCTGGGAGGGGGAGGATATATTCAGGTTCTGATATATACTTCTCAGGCTCCTTCCTTGTGGATTCTATCCAAGGACCAGTTACCCACCTGCCTACTGTCCCTTAGCCCACACATGACACCCAAGTCAGTGTAATCATTCAGTTGTGTAGAAGAAAAAGCATTGATTTCATTGATACATCTGGTGTCATCTTTGATTGTTTGCTCATTCCTGATTGCTGCCTTGCAGTTGCTCCGTTCCGCTGCTGATTGGTCGGCTGGTATAAAGTACCATGAAGAGTCCATCCACACTGCTTACATCAACGTGATAGAGAACAGCAAACACTATATCTATATAGAAGTAAGTCCTGTTTGTGTAAATTACTGTGACACCCTGCCTTCCCATAGATAGCTTACAGAGACCACAGGGCCCCCCAAACCAGGGTCTGCTGCATTAATCAGCATATGTGGAGCCATGAATTCAAGTCATCTGAACTTTTACCTCTCCAGCATGCCTGACATTCACTGTGAATTTTCATTAACTCGGGATTCCAGTAGGAGTCCCTCAAGTTCTTGTTATTAAGGTGTGTCAACTTACTATAATATTATTAGTCAAAAACACTATAACACGGGTGAGTTTTTATGTGTCTTGAGTGAGACGGTTTAAACGTGAGGCATATGCTGCTTCAGGAGAGCACACACAAGGGTAAGTGGCTAATATAGGGCCACTAGATGCCTTTGGTTTGGCAATATTGGAATAAGCAACGTATAGAAAGGGAAGATGTGAGAACATCAATCCTGTATGAACCATTGTTCATTTTAAAGCTTTATCAGATCCCAGAGTTTGTGTTCAGAGAATAGGAGAAAACCTAGGGACACTGTGTTTGGTTTGGGAGCTTTAATTGCACTTTAAAGTAGATATAAAGCTAGCTCAGAGCATATGGAAAATTCAGAAAAAAAAATTAAAAGTCATATAATGACTTCTTTATTTTCATCTTGTCTTTCCCATCAAATTTTTTTAATGTGTGGAGGGAGATGGGTTTCCTGGAGAGAACCATCCTAGCCCTGTGTTCCTTCCTCTTGAGTCTGGCCCTCTCCACTTCCAGGCAGTGACTATTCACAGAGTGCAGGTAGGAAGGAATTAGAGCTTTATTTATTTCACAGACCTAGAGAAAGAGAAGCTGAGCTTTAAAGTTAGCAGGCTAGGTCCAGCACAGTATCCTGGGTGGGACGATGCCACAAGAAAAGGACGCTGAGGATCAAAGTCTGGAGCTTTGTAGTACTAATACAATTAGTATTGATAACTTCGTCAATTATACCATCATGATATAAGAAGTTAATGGCTGCTTCATGCATTACCCAGAAACCTTTTGCTTTATCTCTTTTTAGTAGCATTAAGTCAGGTGTTTTTTTTTTTTTTAAATTAGTGTTACCACAGTCCTAGATGAAGTCCATGATGCCATGTGGATACACATGGCTGTGGACACAAACCTGGTTGTTACACCTCTAGCCAAGGTAAGTGGTTGGCATGTACCCCACTTGCCCCCAAAAGGGAGAACAGGCCCTGACATGTGGCCAGCGAGTATTTACAGCTACTGAGGAATGCTAAGCTGCTCTGTAATACGAATTCAGAAAAACAAACATGTTTTGGTTGCCGCTGAAATTTTTATTGTTCGATGCCTTAAAGAAGAACATTCTCAGATGAGTTCCCACACAATGTCTTCTGGTAAGTTTGTCTTAAGGAGGCAGTTTAAAGATTTATACATCGAAGTATAAAAACATGTAAACTAGTAAAAATTATGATGTCGCAAAGGGATGATAATTCTAGTTTGAGGCATTGCTTATATGTCTCTTAAGGATGATTAGCAAAGATTACTTATGATGATTATACTTATAAATTACAGGTGTATTATTAACTACGTATATAAGTATGTAGTAGCGATCATATTTGTACCTAATGACTAACATTTCTTTATGTTAGTCATTAAATCTTTCATACCATTAGGATAATAATGTCGTACTCGGGTTTTTTGGTAAGAGTTTTAAAGACTGTTTTACGGGTAAATGAATAGTAAGGTTACTTAGAGAAAAAAAATGAAAAAAAAATTCTTTTTCTGGTTTATTGATGTATTTATATGTAGGAAACATACTTGTGAAAGGGATTTGAAGCTACTTAAAATAGGAATTCGAAAATAAGGGACCCAAACAGATGAGGCAAGGCAAAAGCAGAGACTAGGAAACAATAGAGAATGGGTGGAAAAAATTCGACCAGGATTCTACTGTCTACCTGGTTAGAAAGGTCAACTTAGCATGAGACAGAAAGTTTACCAACATAGGATTTTAAATCATGAGCATGTACACAAGTCACAAATCTGTAAACCTAGTGTCCCTATTGATTAAATCTGGAATGTTCCCACCTTTCTAACATGCAAGCTACAAAGAATTCACATGATGAAATAATAGTGTAGCCTCCCCCTGGACTAAGATATTATATGTGAAATACAGAGACCCAGAGTCTCAGTGTCATTTACTTTCCTAAATGCTTTTAGGGCTAAGAACATGTCGCTACGTGACACATTTTTCTTTAAAATATCAGTGTAGTGTTTGTTATAGAGCACACTCTCCATATATACACACACTACCAAGATAAGAAAGACTTACATGATCTCTCTATTTCTTACAGAACCAGTTTTTCATAAGTTGTGCTGATGACAAAGTTGTATTCAACAAGATAGGTGATGCCATTGCTCAGAGGATACTGAAAGCTCACAGGTAAGGCTTTGGTGTGTTGGTAGGGGGGGTTACTGCAGCTGTTCTCGCATTTCCTGCTGAAATGACTTTTGAAAGCCCATTTTAAAATACTGTCTTTTCCTAGCAGGCATAAATCGGGTTCAGCTAGCAGTAGGTTATTGGTTCCTTAAGTCTGATTTCGGTTCCTGAGAATTTTGAGTCCCATTTTTGAAGCAATCTGAATTCTTTCAGGGCACAGTCATTTTTTCCTGGCCGGTCTCTTTCCCACGCCGTTAGATCGTGGTTTGATTTATTTAGTGGCAGACAGTGAGCCGTGTTCACTTAAAAATCAAAGCAAAATAGTCATCATATTTTTCCGTGAGTTATATTTAAACTCTCGTTACCCTCCATCTTCTTTCTTCAGCTCCTGGGATTATTTATTTCAATAAAAATGTTGTTAAAATGTAATTCACATACCATGCAATCCACCCACTTTTAAAGTGTATTAATTAAGTGCTTTTTAGTATATTCTCAGAGTTGTGCGACTGTACCTAATCAGTTTTAGAACATTTTCATCATCCCAGAAAGAAACCCAGTGTCACTACCCACTTCCCCTTGCTTTAATCCTCTTGCAACCACTAAACTACTTTCTTTCCCTGTAGATTTGCCTAGTCTGGGCATTTCATATGAATGGGATCGTACAGTAGGTGGTCTTTGGTGACTGACTTCTTTCATTTAACGTTTCCAAGACTCATCTGTGTTATAGGATATTATCAGTATTTCATTTATATTTATTGCCAGGTAATATTCCATTTTCTGGATATGCTATATTCTGTTTATCCATGCATCAGTTGGTAGATATGGGGATGTTTCCACTCTTCGGCTATTATGATTAATGCTGCTATAAATATTCTGTATTAGTTTTTGTGCAGACATATTTTTATTAGTCTAGAAGTAGAATTGCAGCGTTATATGGTAATTCTATGTTTAACGTTTTGAGAAGCTGCCAGAATGTTTTCAAAAACAGCTACAGTATTTTACATTCCCATGGTCTATTCTCTGTCATCATTGCCAATACTTACAATTATCTCTCTTTTTGATTATTGCCATCCTAATAGATGTGAAATGATATCTCACCGTGGTTTGGATTTCAGTTTCCCTAATGATTAATGATGTTGAGTATTTTTGTTGTTGTTGTTTATTGGCCATTTCATGTATTATCTCTGGAGAAATATATATTCTTGTCCATTTTTTAATTAGGTTGTCTTTTCGTTGAATTGTAAGAGTTCTTTATATATTCTAGATACAAGGATCATATCAGATTTAAGATTTGCAAATATTTTCTCCTTTTCAGTGTGTTTTATACTTTCTTGATAATCTCTTTTGAAAGACAAAAATTTTTAATTTTGATAAAGTCCAGTTTATTTTTTTCATTTATCACAGGTGCTCTGGTTCTGTAGCTACAAAATCACTGCCTAATCCAAGATGGTGAAGATGTACACCTCTTTTCCTCCAAGAATTTTATGGTTTTAATCCTTACACTTAGGTCTTTGATTCATTTTAAGTTATTTATCAGACATGGTGCAAGATAGCAATCCTACTTCATTCTTTTACATGGGGATATATAGTTGTTCCAGCACCATTTGTTGAAAAGACAGTTCTCTCCCCACTGAGTTGTCCTGGTACCCAGACTACTTTTTTTTTTTTTTTTAAAGATTTTGTTTATTTATGAGAGAGAGAGAGAGAAAGAGAGAAGCAGGCTCCATGCAGGGAGCCCGATGTGGGATTCGATCCCAGGACTCTTAGGATCATGCCCTGGGCCAAAGGCAGGCGCTAAACTGCTGAGCCACTCAGGGATCCCCAATTTTGCATATTATTCCTACTAATCTTTTCTTTTTTTTCCTTGCCCCCCCCTTTTAAATTTAAACTCAACTTGCCAACATATAGTATCACACCCAGTGCTCATCCCATCAAGTGCCCTCCTCAGTGCCTGTCACCCAATCATCCCATACTCCCACCTACCTCCCCTTCTGCAACCCTTTGTTTCCCAGAGTTAGGAGTCTCTCATGGTTTGCCAGACTACTACTTTTTATGGGTAATTTTAGCTCTGTATAAAAACAAAAAAACAAATAAACAACACCATTACATTTTATTCCTTCAATTCATTGAACACATGCAATGGAGAGTGTTAAATATATGCACATTTTGGAGATTAAAACATCATTTTACTTCCAGTGTCCCATGGCACTTTACTATGTTTTTTTCCCCACATAATATTATAGGGATTTTTAGACCTAAGAACATTTTACAATAGTAATCGCCAGTATTTTATATGATTTACAGTTTATAGACTCTTACTGAATCTTCACAACTACTCTTGAAAGTAGACCATTCAGTCCTTGTGGTTGTTACTGTTATTATTGTCATTGCTGTCTCCATTTGTAGAGTTAAAAACTAAGATTCAAGAGGTGATGTGGGGATCCCTGGGTGGCGCAGCGGTTTGGCACCTGCCTTTGGCCCAGGGCGCGATCCTGGAGACCCGGGATCGAATCCCACATCGGGCTCTCGGTGCATGGAGCCTGCTTCTCCCTCTGCCTATGTCTCTGCCTCTCTCTCTCTCTCTCTCTGTGACTATCATAAATAAATAAATAAAAAATTAAAAAAAAAGAGGTGATGTGACTTGACTAAGCCCCTAACAGCAATAGGCAAAAATAGCTTTGAGACTTCCAACCCAATGCCTCTCCGCAGGCCCCGTAACTTCAAGACTGAAGAGCCCTTCAGCATTAGCACAAATTGAGACAAGGGGGTTGGGCCTTTGTTGTCCTCTCCTCCCATTAACCAGTCATCAGGTATAGGCTGACTTGAGGAATTGAGCATGACCTTGGGTGAGGCAGGTCCCTTTGACCAAGGAGGGTAAATCCTGGAGATCTTCACTGTGAGTAGTCGGCAGCCAATACTCTCAGTGGGAAGGTAATGGCTGTCTTGAGCCCACGGGGAGGGCATTTAGGCAGCACACCGCAGTACCCACCATATCCTGCAAGGTGTACAGTGGATCTCACCCTTTACTACACATCAAAATCACCACTGGACATTTTTTTTCTAGTTTATTTATTTATTATTTTAGAGAGAGTGCAAAGTGGAAGAGGGGCCAGGAGAGAGGGAGAGAGAGACTTTTAAGCAGTCTCCATGCCCAGTGTGGAGCCCGACACAGGGCTTGATCCCACGACCCTGAGATCATGAGTTGAGCCAAAATCAAGATTCATACACTTAACCAACTGAGCCATCCAGGCACCTCTCACCATTGGACTTTTATAAAAATCCAGAGAGCTGGACTCAATCCAGACTTGCTTAGTCAGAATTTCCTGGAGTGGGGCCCAGGCACTTATGTTTCATAATGGTCCACAGGTAACTCCAGGGCACAGTCAGAACTACTTAGGACTCACCTAGAAGAGCAGGTGTGGCCATAGGCATTAATGGTGATCTGTGCTTTTACAGGTGACCTCTATCTTTGGTCTTCTCACAATCTTTTTTTTTCAAGAAAGTTACCACACGATCTGTTTCTGAGATGACTAAAAACAGTCTTGGGTACAGTTAAACATACACCTACCACAACGATTTCTTGTATTATGTCAGTCTCTCAATTCTGTGGGTCAATTTGTGTCTAATTTACAAAATTAAAGTGTCTTTCTGCCAACTCTTGCATTTCATTGATGCAGGAGTTTCCACCTTATCTATAAAGCATATTTGACAAAAGAGAAAGATATTTTTTCATGAAATTGAAATAAGTTGCAGAAATCCATTAGGCTGACAAATGAACTCACTGGTTGGAGTGGTGAATGGTGAATATTGTAACCGTGATCAGCTAATAAGGAGAGTAGGAGGACTCCTAGCTTCCCTCATCCGAGTTACTAGTTCCCTGTATACATATATTAGTAAGTACCCGTAAGATTTGTTTTTAAAGGGTTTGGGAGCCTGAAAGAACACTTTTCTTCAGCATATTCATTTGTCTTTAAAAATCTGGACTTCTGGGCAACCCAAGTGGCTCAGTGGTTTAGCGCTGCCTTCAGCCCAGGGCATGATCCTGGAGACCCGGGATCGAGTCCCACGTCAGGCTCCCTGCATGGAGCCTGCTTCTCCCTCTGCCTGTGTCTCTGTCTCTCTCTCTCTGTCTCTCATGAGTAAACAAATCTTACAAAAAAAAATCTGGACTTCTTCTGAGGTCATAGTATTTCAGGGCTGAAGGAAATTTAAGATATTTTCTGATTGAACATTTCCCAGCGATCCTATGAGCTGCTCCTGAAAGGAAAAGGGATCGGTGATGAGAGAGCACCGTAGGGTAGCATCTGCTGCAGACTGTGTCTCACACTTGGAAGTTCACAGAGCCCATTAAAGATGCAATTTGAAGCCTACTTTGTAGAAAATGGGAAATGAGCCCATTGAATTTCAAATTAGCTGTGTTATTTAGCTCTGATCTCTCAATCGTCTCCCTTTCTTTGATAGTCACGTTTCAAAGGGCGTGTGTATTATACATAAAACTTTTCATGGATACACGCATGTACCCTGGAAATATATTTCACATGTTCCCCCTTCTCTGAACCTTCACATTATTATTGTTCATCTCCTGGGTTAATTGGAACTGTAAAATAGATTTTCATTTGCCGGTTTCAAGCCTGTGGGCTCGTATTCTTAGGAAAGGGAGAGGTGGAACTTCGAGCCTGTCTGCAGTGCTCCCCTCGCCCTTTCACCAAGGGCCATGGCGTGCCATGCCCAAGTTCACCCCCCTCTTCCTTCATTGACTTCTCTGGGCTTTGCTCTCTGAGACTCAGAACTTCCCTGCCAATGTCACGTGCCTGGCAACAAATATAATTCTGGCTGTTGGAAAAAGGATAGAATATAGCACAAAGCAGATGGAGGGAAATGACAGTCAGCATTCAGCCAGGCCTGACCAAGGAACACAGGCTCTCTTCCAGATCCCTCCCACCTTGGAAAGATCCGAGTCTCTTGATTGCCAACTCCCTCTACTGGGCTGAGACTTTATTTTT